TTTATATATATATATATATATATAAATATAAATAAAAACAATTATTGTTCAAATATTTTTTATAAATTAATATTATTTTGATATTTCGGTTAATGTAGAATATTCTTCTTTTTGTATGGATTCCTTTCTCATTGTGAAGAAAGCTTTAACTTTGCTATCGTTAGAATTTCAGTTCAAGCAAATGGTATCTCACGGGTGGAGGTCGTTGCGTCAAATCTCACAAATCATGAATGAATTCTAAGTTTTGTTGTACATTTTCTACAAATTGGAAACGTTATTATCACTAGTAAGTCTTATATTAACAATTACATGTTTTTTGTAAATTTGCATAATTTTATATTACAAAAAATTATGAATTTATTAAACGGTTTGGTGGCATGTAAACAAACATTGAATTACGAAATGTTGTCATATAATTTGTATGTTTTTATATATGTAAATTTATTAAAGATAAGTAAAGAAAGTTGAAATTTAATTCATTTTATTATAATTTATAATATAATAAAAAAAAAAATAATTTTTTTTGAAGATATAAAAATTCTTTCTACTACAGTTTAAGTTCTAGTTTTTTAAAATGTCGAGTTTCATTTTTTATATTTATATTTAAATAGTTTGTAAATATTAAATATATAAATAAATTTATAATTATATTATTTTTTATTTTATAAAGTAAAAATATATTTTAATATTAAAAAATAAAATGCAAGAAATGTTAATTAATATTTTTATTGAAAAATATTAAAGTAAAATATTATATAAATAAAAAATATATGAATATTATTAAATTTATGAAATATATAATAAAATATTTATCAAAAAATATAATTGTGTCATATGATATATGTTATATGTGATGAAGTACTCAACAAAGCGTACATAGTACAATGAATGAAGTAAGTGGAGGAAAACAAGATATACCAAATACTTCTACTTGGGAAACTTTATCTGGCCAACCTGCATCTTCATTATCTACAATGCATCATCATCATCCAACATTACAACAAGATACAACTCCAACAGTTGCACAAGTTATAGTTCCTACTCCTGTAAAACTACAGACACCTATATTAAGTTCAACACAAAGTATACCTGACCATTGTTCACAACTTGGTCATATACAACAATCGGGTCTAATGACACAGGTATCAATGCATATTAAAGTTTATATTAACCTATTAGTCAATATTTATTTTTTATTTAATGTAGATAAGATATAATATTTCATTTTCTATATATTAGAATATATTATACGAAATTAAATAATTAAATTATCAATAATTATATAAAAAATATAAAATTAAATAAAAATTAACTTAACTTAATTATATTGAGATATGTATAGATTAAAAAATATATTATGTCAAATTAAAGAATACCAATTTATTGATATATTATATAAATCTATATAGCATATATTTATGTTCCATAAATTTTTTGGCTAAATCAATTAAATACTTGAATAAACATAATATAAAGTAATTAAATAAATATATATATATATAATAAAGTATTTTTTTCCATAATTAGTTTATTATTCAATTATAGGGTACACCACCAGGAACATTTCCAGAATCTGAACTTTCACCTGAACTTCAACAACAAGGATGGAAAAAATTTTGGAGTAAACGAGAGAATCGTCCATATTTTTGGAATAAATTAACTGGAGAATCTTTATGGGTAATACCACCTCTGAAACCTCAGGTACTAAGGTATAAAATTTGATTATAGATTAATAAAAGTATAAACTTATAACTGTCAATTTTATCTATATTTAAGTTTGATCCAATTACGGATCCACTTGGCATTTGTGGTGTACAACCTGCTTCTGGAAATGGAACTATTCCTTCAGGAGGAACACTTAAACGCCGAGCTTCTGAAGATAGTGTTGTTCCTGCTACAAAAAAATTTGTATTAGCGTATGTTAAATTGTCTTAATTTATTATTATTTTTATGTATTATATTAAAAATATTTTTAATATATATTTTATCATTTTTTTTAACAATAGAGGACCATGGGATTTGGAAATTCCAACAAATGTTATAATATATGAAAGGGCTCCTTCAAATTTACCTCATGTTCATCCTGAAGCAGAAGCATTACGTTGTGGTTTACTTGCAAAACTGAGACAATGCTATCAAGAATTGTGTCATACTCGTGAATCTATAGATGCTCCAAAAGATTCCTTTAACAGATGGTTAATGGAAAGAAAAGTTATAGACTGTGGTTCAGATCCTCTTTTACCAAGTCAGTGTTTCCCTGAAATTTCTATGTCTATGTATCGTGAAATTATGAATGACATCCCTATTAAATTAGTCCGGCCAAAATTCACTGGTGATGCAAGAAAACAATTATCACGATATGCGGAAGCTGCAAAAAAAATGATAGAATCAAGAGCAGCTTCATCAGAAAGTAGAAAGGTTGTAAAATGGAATGCAGAAGATACATTTCAGTGGTTGAGACGAACAGTTGGTGCTACATTTGATGATTTCCAAGATCGTCTTGCACACTTGAAACGACAATGTCAACCACATCTTACTGAGACTGTAAAAGCTAGTGTCGAGGGTATCTGTCTAAAAATTTATCATTTATCAACAGAATATGCAAAAAAAGTTAAAGATAAAAATAATCAAATATTAAAGGATAATGGTTTAGGAAATGTTATACCATTAGGGGGACCAGCTAGTGCACAAAGAAAAGTTTGGTGTTATCCTGTGCAATTTTCTCTTCCTACTCCTCGACTTCCACAAGTGGATTATCTTCCTGAACGTGAACAAACAATGTTGCGTTTTCATGGTGATACTGTGTGTATTAATAATATACATCTTGCTAAATTAGAACATCTGTATAGATACAATTGTTTTGATGATAAGAAATTTGAAATGTTTTTACCTCGTGTTTGGTGTATGTTAAAACGTTATCAAACATATCTTGGAATCAATGAAGGACAAGCAACACAAATGGCTCTCCCTGTCACAGTTTTTGAATGTCTTCAACGATCATTTGGTGTAACATTTGAATGTTTTGCATCTCCATTAAATTGTTACTTTAGACAATATTGTTCAGCATTTGCTGATACAGATTCTTATTTTGGATCAAGAGGAGCTTTTTTAGACTTTAGACCCGTAAGCGGCTCGTTTCAAGCTAATCCACCATATTGTGAAGAACTTATGGAAGCTATGGTCAATCATTTTGAACGTCTTTTGGCTGATTCTACTGAACCTTTATCTTTCGTAGTATTCTTACCAGAATGGCGAGATCCAGCACCTAATGCTCTTATTAAATTAGAAAGTAGCCATTTTAAGCGTAAACAAGTAGTTGTACCTGCAATGGAACATGAATATAGACATGGATTCCAGCACATATTACCAAAGTAAATTACAATATTTTAATTTGAATATCTTTCAAAATAAAAAAAAAATATATATATATATTATATATATATATAGAATATCATTTTTTATTATAGAGGTGAAGTCAATATTAGAGCAGCACATGGAACATTAGTTGTATGGTTACAAAATGCAGCTGGTAGTGCTCGTTGGGGACCTACTGAAGAAAGAGTTGAAGCATTATTAGAAGCATGGCGTCCAGGAAGAGAAAGAGAACGAGATAGACAAGAACTTTTATCACCACCAAGACAAACACATCAACAAATGCCTTCTACTCCAATTCCTGTTTTAACAACACCCACAACCCCAACTGTATCATTACAAACATTATCTACACATCCTATATAATTCTTAAATAATATTCTAGAATCGGAAAAAAAGTAAAATTTAATTTTAATTCTTTTCTATAAAAATCGGTTTTTTAAACAAAATATTTGACATATAATTTATCAATTATATTTTATATAACAGAAACAATATAATAACATCGAAATATTGATTTCTGTTAATTCTATTATAATAGCTCCCACGATATAAAAAATATAATGATCAAATCGAAGAAACGTTACAATTAATATTTTTGAGCATTTAAATAGACGAATTGATAAATATTTGAAAGTTAAGAAGTCAGCAGTTATTAAAAAATATAGAATACTGTGTGCGATTCTAAATACTGCTGTATTAATTTATTATATCGTGAAAGATATTGTATACATGCTTCAATATTATTTATCATTTGTTATAAGCAATTCATTTCATCTAAAGAAGATATACAAATAGGTACGTACATATGGGTACAAAATTCATTAAAATATTATGATCTTTTATTATATTATATAAATTTTATAAAAATTCTTTCTATTAAAAATAGCAAGAATTTATCATTTAACTTCAATATTTTTGTGATTTATTCTAGAGTGCAATTCCATTTCCTATTTCCACAAGAAATGTTAAAAATGTATGAGATGTGAAAATGAAAAATATGTATCTATTATATAGGTATAAAAAAACATCATTCGATAATTGATACAAAATCACGTTGCGTGGAGTCTAATCTTTGTAACAGTGTTAATTGTTGATAATTAATAAGAAGACTTTGTGAGACGTGATACCCTAATAGAGGTACTTGCCATGCAAGCAAACATTGATACTATATGAAATTATGAAAAAAATTATGAGAAAATGCAATAGTACGTATGCATGTGTGCGTGTGTGTAAATAATGAAATACATAATTATATTTGCTTATTTTTCATCCGAAAATTAGTTTATATGAAAATAATTTAAAGTAATATGCCCTTTTTATACCTTTTATCCATGACAATCTTTTTCTTTTAACATGAAATAATAACATATAGATACTTTTTTTTTTCAAATGTATCATCAGTGCAATATTTTATATAAATTTTTAATAGAACATACAGAAATATATTAATTTCTTTCATAGAAGATATTTTTTGTTACTTTTCGATGAACTTTTAAATTTTAAAACAAATATATGTGATGAATTTGTAAATTTGTATGACACTGAATTAAAATAATTAATTTTTTTGTTCATAAAATCGTTCAAAATAAATTGATAAAAATTATTTTTTCATAAACAAAATGTATCTTAAGTTGAAAATATATCTGTATATATGTATATGTATTAAACAATCAAACTAAGTATAGAATTTGTAACTATTATTTTCACATGGAACAAAATATTTCCTTTATGTAATAATAGTTTTTTTTTTTTAAATTATAAATAGAATTTATACATATAATATATAATATATATAAGAAATAATATAAGTATCATAATATAATATCTATTTTTATCATATTTTTTTCTTTTTCAATTAATTGCATAAGCAAATCCTTATATATCGTACTTGAAAAATGATCAATTCGTAATTATGCACAAAACTGAGAGAGAGAAGAGAGAGAGAAAAGAAGAGAATTTATATAAAATATAATTTAAAGAAATTATATAATAATAGTGTGACATTATAATCCCATATAATTTACTTTGTAATTTTATTTTATTGATTTAAAAGAAACAAATGTGCTATGTACACATTTTTCACTGAATGCTAATAAGTTTTTACAATTATTTATATTTACAGATAATATATATATTAACATTTATACATATCTTATACATTTTGTATATTTTTATTAATTATAAATTGTGCATAATTGTACAATATATATATATATATATATATATAGAGACATTTATGCACTCATAATTTGTAAGACATAAGACAATATAAAAAAGATTTATAGACATTTATTATTTTAGTACTTAAAATTCCCATAAAAAAATAAGATATATTCGTAAAAAGATTATATTATTGTTGAATATAGTATAATAGAATTTTGCATTTTATAAAGCAATTTGCCATAAAATTAGCAAAATAATTAATTTAAAAAATATTGTTCTTTTTTTAAATGTAAAGATACTTTATATTAATATAAATTATTTAAAAATAATTCATATTCTTAGAAATTAAAAAATTAGCAAAAATTATCTAATTATCTGATGAAACTATTTACTAACATTTTTTACTTCAAAATGTTGAAAATTTGTAGGTCACATTTCCTTTAATACATTGTCGTATTTTTATATTTATATGTTAGATGTTGAAACATTTTTAAATAAAAAATAAAATATTTTTAAAATTATAAGCAAAAAGATATATTTACTATAGGATATTATTATTAACATGATATATATTAAAATATATATTAAAAATTAATTATTTAATTTTTTTGTCTCAAATAATTCAGTTAATTTATGCTATTTATATTTTAAATAAAACTAATAAAATTTAATTAATATAAACATAATATTTTATATTTTAGAACTATTTAGTTAGAAATTGTTATCTATCTTTTGGAGTTTTATATTTTTAATCTTTATTAAATGCATTATAATATTTATAATATACACTTTATTTTTTTAATAGTGATTAATAAATTGATTAATTGAAGTATAAGTAATAAAAGTAGTAAATAAACTAGAAAAAATATTTGTTTTATAATTTATGTATTTTCAATATTTACAGAATTATATAAAAATTTGTTCATAATATATATCACATTATTTACAACATAATATTTACATAATATTTACATATATAATATATAATATATAAACAACAATTTTTTTATTTATTTTTAGATTTTATATCTTTTATCATATGGATAAATTTTCAGTTGAATCATGTGATTGAAGAAATAATAAAATTTTGTTTAACAATTTATGAGCTTGTTGTTTTTCACAAATTAAATAATAAATAGATTTTTCTTCCATATCATTAATAAAATCTATCAATGTCAATTTTATTGAATGAAGATCAAATATGCAATGATTAAATCCAAGTTTATATTTATTAAAGCTTATTACATCTTCTTTGTCTAAAACCATATTTAAACGTTGTTTAGTAATAAATGTTAAGAAATCAAAAAATAAATTATAATCCATTCCATATGTAGATTTTAATATTAATTGACAATGTTCTGCCCAATTATTCATATCTTTACAATCACTAACTTCTTTTATAACAGAATTTAATTCTTTTTTTAATCCATGCCACACATTCATAATATTACAACTATTTATCCAATTATGATTAAGAGAAATTGTATCTTCCTACAAATAAATATTATAATAAATAGGTAATTTTTTAAATAAAAATAATTATAATTAAATATATTTACTATATTCCAGACTTGATGATACCATCCAGATGGTACAAATATAATTTCTCCTTCCTGTTGGATTATATCAATATATTTTAATACACGTTTATCATAGGCCTTATATCTTGTATAATCATTAAGTTCTTTTGATGTTGCATCATATGTTAATTGTCCGTGTATATCTTTAAGAAAATCTTCTTGACCTGGAGGAAAAAGTAACCAACGTTTTTTTCCAACTATATTAGCAGACCAACTGTAGGATCCAAACACATCTGCATGTAATGGTGTCCTATAATAAAAACTAGTTTTTCTTATTTATAATTATATTATTTATATATAATTATTTATATATAATTTATTTATTATATATTATAATTATTTATAATTAAATATTATAATATTTAAAATTAATAATTTGACATTTAAAAAATATGTACCATGTTCCTTTTGGTCCCATATAAACAAATCTATAATCATCATTCAAATTAGGATTTGCAATATAATATTCATTCAGCCAATCTGATGCAAAATATTCAGGAACAGTGTACATAGGAGCATTAGGAAATAATTTTGGACAATGCCAATCTTTTAAATACAAAAGTGGCATAGAATCTGAATAATTGTTTTTTGCATAATCTATCCAATAATTTAAATAATCTTTCATTTTCATATCATCCTTAGATTGTGAATTATAATATTTTTTGTTACAATCTGCAACTGGAACTATACAATCTCCTATAAAAAAAATTTTTATATGATTTAATACACATATAAATAATTTAAAATACATAATTATAATTAATTTACCAAATAATATATCAAGAACATCAAAATCTGGAGTACCATCCAAATTCCATTGTCTCTTACACGACCAATTTTCTGTTATATTCGATTTAAAAATACAAGGTTTATTTTCCATTAAATATTTAGAAAAAAATTCATCGTATTTTATCGATGGATCAACATAATCAATCCAATCAATTATGGCGGTTTTTTTGTTGATAGATAACCTCCTGTTTTTAACTTCGAGTTCTTGTACCATCGCGCACTTTAATTTCAATTAAACTTAATAAACAAAGTTCATCATATCTATATATATATATAATATATATATATATATATAATACATATATATACATATATATATAACAACCGATTAAAATATAGAAACCAATAATGATGTATAGTTGTTTTTAAAAACTTTA